CACAATTAGCACTCTTATGCACACACACACACAAGGACTCACACTCTCAAACTCACACACACACTCACACAAACACCAAAACACACACATTGTTTGCATACTTGCATAAGCACATTCATACACTGGAAGGACTCTCATGTTAATTTGAATCTTCTTGATATCTAGGTAGGACCTGGTGGCTCTATCCAGTCCCTGCAGTTTGATGAACGTCATAGCGGATACAAAGCATACACAGTATCAATTGATGGAACTTTGGCTTACCATGATTTGGAGGCTGAGGAGAGGAAAAACTTCTTGATGACAGGAGATATAGAGTAGGTTTTTATTTTTCCTCTGAAACTTGACGTGAATTCCATGTGATATCCTGAGTGCACATGAATGTTTGCACTAAGTGTAAAAAGATTAGAGAGCCTAAATGAACTTGCCTGTGAGAATAAGATGCACTTATATATATGCAGTACTATATGGCTGTATTTACAGCACAGATGCAAATGCACGTATACACTTATGCACATACCCACACTTGTTAATTTAGGATTTTGAACATCCCTTTAGAAAGCAAGTACAGTAATTCCAATGTGGAATGTAAAGAAAAGAAGTAAGAGCAGTAATTTAAAATGGAAGGTTAATATAGGAAACAATATTTTAAGCGGGGATGCAGCTGTAATAACCTACGCTGCCTGCCTTTTTAAGTATATTGTGAGTTCTCTCTCTGGGTGAGTGCTTTGGACTGGCTTTAGATTGATTTTAATGGTATTATACAATATGTTCAACAAATTTGTAAGATGGTCATGAACAGTAGATCATCCTTGCCTCAGAAAAAATTGTGAAGGGCTAGGCATAGAACACTCAGTGTCTAACTCCCCTAGATTCTGTGGTAGGGTGCAAAGGCCAAGGTAAAAAGTTGGAAATACTTGACTTGAATCTGGTTCCAGATTCAGAGAAGGGTAGTGGAGCCCCAGCTTTAGGTAAATAGTGTCATGTTAATATTTGATGAATTAAAATCAGATGATATCTGAATATGTAGACCAATGTGTATGGATCACAGTAAACTTCATAATGAACATAACAAAAAAATCATAAAATACAACATGTAAATCGTCACTGATAATCTCACATGAAAACTGAACTGTTGCAGTATTTTAACATGCCATTTTCTGGAACAGACAGGTGCAAATGGCTCTATCCAGGCCTTAAAGTTCAATACAGATAATCCTAACTTGGCGTACACAGCCTCTATCAATGGCAACATGGAGTGCCAGGATGTCACAAGGGGACACTGTCACAAAGTTTTTCTGTCGACTGGTGATTGCGAGTAAGTTCTCTTGTTACTTCCAATCATGCCTTAACTCTTTCTCCATGTTCTTTTCATTTCCTTATTCAAATTTCTGTAATTTTCTCAGATTTTGTCTATTTTCCTTTTCTTTTTGTCATCTTTTTTGTTTTCCCTTTCTTCTCTCCCATATATATTTCTCTACTTTCTTCTTTTTCATCATTGTGATATATTGTATGAATATGCAAATGGCACAGTCCTCATTCATTAAGCTCAAGCACCAATGTACCTTCTTTTTCATTGATATTTGAGGCTCTTCAAAAGCCTCTTTGTACTTTTCCTATATTTTGATATAATTATTTGAGGTGCTCAATTATTTGTAAGAATATATTGTCCCTTTTTGGGGGTCATGAGGACACACTCAATTTTTAAGTGGTTAATTAGTTCAGGTTTATCTATTTTATTTTCAGCCCGCGACTGCTATATAGCCTCATAGATGTATCGTGCCGTAAGTGATTTTGTATTGTGTGATATATAAGATATGTGAAATTGTGCTACACAAGAGATTGGTGAGAAAACTTGGACAAACAGACTCGTGTACTTCAGGTCATAGAAAGGTGACAGCATATTGAGAGTTGCCCGCACTGTGTAAGTGTGGGGTGGTAGTTTTCAATATTAGTTGATTTACATGAATTCTGTTTATATGCTATGTATATCATTCAGACGTGTGATTGTTGAAAGTATTTATTTTTTTTATTTTGGCTTGACCTTTTTACATGTCACCGACCTTACCACACGCCCTAATAAAGTCTTCTGAATATTGAAGAGAAGAAAAATGTATCACAGAAACGATTTTGGTTGAAAAGATTATCTTTTTTTGCCGTGTCGCTAAGCACACTTCTTACAAATATTTTAAACACATCTGAATCCATTTTAGGCATACACCGGTGAGGCCTGGCGGGCACACACTGTATTGCCTCATTACGAAGACTTGCAGTGTGTGGTTTCTATAGATTAATGTTTTTCCGTAAAACTAAATTTCTTATAGGTAAAACTATCATTAATTTCTGTATTGAGACGAGAGCTGCAGTGTTCAGAGAACAGTTGAAATTAATATACAAATCAGATTGATCGTTTGATTGGTGTTATTTCAACCAATACGCAAGTCCATTTACCCTTCTTGCAGACTTGATCGAGCAGCATATTGCTATTATTGTTGTTATACCT